TCCCCCACTCACACTCTGTCTCTCTCTCTCTCTCTCTCTCAAAAATAAATAAACATTAAAAAGAATTTTTTTTAAATTGCATAAAATTAAGGAAAGTTACGATATTTAAAGGGAAATAATTTTTTTTTAATTAAGTAGGTTCCACACCCAACATAGGGCACAAACTCAGGACCCCAAGATCAAGAGTCACATGACTGTCAGCCAGGCACCCCCAGAAATAATATTTTATTTTAAATGCTTTTTAAAAATTAAAATTATCAAGGGTGTCATTGATGCATATTTTTAATGTGTATTTTCCAGCTGTTGAAAAAAGTCTTTGTGATTAGTTGGTATAATGATGAAGATAAAACTACATGAAGTTTCTCTTTATGCCTTTATTTTCAAATAATTTTAGTTCTCATTTGACAATTTTGAAAAGGTGTTTTTGAAAATACTGTTTATAAGATGGGGGGGGGGTCGGGTGAGGGATAGATTGATAGATTTTATAATTTTTTTTGATAATCTATTTTTTGTTTCAAAGGAAGAATTTTATTAAAAAAATTTTTTTAAGCTTATTTATTTATTTTGAGATAGAGAGGGAGGGAGTGCTATCACCTGGGCAGGGGAGAGGGGGAGAGACAATCCCAAGCAGCCTCTGCACTGTCAGCACAGAGCCTGACACAGGACTTAATCTAACGAACCATGAGATCATTACCTGAGCCGAAGTCAAGAGTGTCCACACTTAACTGATTGAGCCACCCAGATGGCCCTCAGAGGAAGAATTTTAATTCACTATCTTCTCTGTCTTTATTATTTCATCATGAAAAGATGAAGATTCTCATGTGGTTACCTATATCTCTGTTTCAGTACTGTCATGCCATAGTTTAATTATTTAGGAAACCTTTGAACTAGAGTATGAATTATTCTTTACTTTGTCCACTCTCCACACATAACCCCTCTTTAAGGATTCTAGTGGTATAGAAGCACATTTTTCAAATAAATGTACCTTTATTCAATATAAATAGCTAATGCAAGCATACTATATCTTGGTATGTCTTAAGACATAGGATTCAGATTTCAGATTTTTAAAATACTGTAAGAACAATAATATATCAACACAGTAATTATAGTTCAGTACTTAAAAATAATATGATTTACTGGAATACAGAGAACCCCAATGACAGTCATTAATTTAAACAAATAAGGAAAATCCAACAATATTGAATGTTATCCTATTTTATCCTCCTTTATCCCTGCTTTTAAAATATCCTCTATTAGGGGAACCTGGGTGGCTCAGTTAGTTAAGCATCTGACTTCAGCTCAGGTCAGATCTCTTGGTTCCTGAGTCGGAGCCCCATGCTGGGCTCTGTGCTGACAGCTTGGAGCCTGGAGCCTGCTTCAGATTCTGTGTCTCCTTCTCTCTCTGCCCCTCCCCCACCTGTGCTCTGTCTCTCTCTGTCTCTCAAAAATAAACATTAAAAAATAAAAATATCCTCTATTATTACCTTTTCTAGGTATAAGAGCTCCTTCTCTGACATTGGAGAGCCATGTTTGAAGGTAGCTCCAAGAAAACTCCAAGAGTTGATACATAATAAACAAAATGCGAGTGATATTTAACAATGTCCAGAAGGCGTTTGGTTTTTACCAAATATAATAGACATAATTTTATATGGACTTTAGCAAGCCACTTATAATTTTTTAAAAATTATCACATATAATATGGAGAAATGCAGGCTAGATACAGTAAAAACCAGATAAGTGACTGCTTTGTAAAGACAAACTCTGTCCTCTGCTTTGTTGAGGTCCCCTACCCCATTTGATGTATTGCTGGATTAGATTTACAGGCTTTTCTTTAGCGGTGTGAAAAAAATAGTTGTACAGGGAACCTCAGAAAATAAAACAAGTTTTATAGAGTGAACTATTTTGGCTAAGGCGTGACCAGTTGGAGGAGGGATAACCCTGGGAATTCCAGCCTGTTGGTCTCTTCCTCTCCTACCTGACCAGCTCATGGGCCCTTCTGAGAGCACAGTTTGGAAAGTACTGTAGCTTGTGACACACACAGGGGTTTCCAACCCCAAGGGCTTCAGACAGCTGATCGTTTGTGAACCAGTGAGGCTGATAATTTTTTGACCTCTGTCTTTAGGAATTTTTAAAAATGTGTAATGTATACTTGTGCTCTTTTTTTTTTTTTTTTTTTACAGGAAAAATATTTTCCTGTTTTGTGTTCTACATCTTCAGCTTCTATAAATTCCCTGATCAGAGATCGTCGTGCTTATAATAGGGATGCCACTCCTGGAACATCTAAAATAGTGATGTCTACAGGTAAATTAGTATTTTTTAGAGAGTATAAAATTACTAATCTTTTACTCTGTGTTATTTTAGTGTCTTTGAAGTCTGAGGACTAAAATAAGAGGAGAACAAGATGCTGATAATCACATTTTTGAAGCATTTTTCATATTAAAGTATTTTTAAATTCTGGTTATTCATTTTGATGTTAAGGAAAAACTGTTTAAATACACAAATCAGTTGAACATTCAGTACTCTTAAAGTATTTTATCCATCTTAGTAAGATTTACAAAATTTACATCGTTGTCAGATCTGTTTTTGTCTTCCCTTATTTCATGATGTCTTTTTGTCTTGTGTAAAGCTACCTCAAATCTTTTTAAAATGCCTTTTAAGGGGCGCCTGGGTGGCTCAGTCGGTTAAGCGGCCGACTTCGGCTCAGGTCATGATCTCGCGGTCCGTGAGTTCGAGCCCCGCGTCGGGCTCTGTGCTGACAGCTCAGAGCCTGGAGCCTGTTTCAGATTCTGTGTCTCCCTCTCTCTGACCCTCCCCTGTTCATGCTCTGCCTCTCTCTGTCTCAAAAATAAATAAACATTAAAAAAAATAAAATGCCTTTTAAAATCTTGACAGATCCTTGCCTGTCAAGGGGCATGATGACTTTAAATTATTCTCTGTTATGTGAAGAGTATGAAATGACACAGACCTAGATTGAACAATCCCCCTTTTATTTGTCATCTCTTGTACATTTTCTTGTTCCCTTCCTTTTTTTAAAAGCATGTACTATTGCTTTTTCTCCTTGATCTTTATCTCCCTTATACTTTTCTCTTCTGTTGATTTTTCTCCCAATTTTACTTTCCTCACTAAAAAGAAGTTACTTTTTGAAGTAGAAAAGATCACCTAAAGATTATTGTAACATACTCAGTTTATTATTTCCGATTTTTAGGCCATTAGCAGGAAAGACTAAATGAGTATAATGCAAAGGAGATAAAACATTGAAATCTTTGTTTAGCTTCACTTGTGTTCAGTAGGGTTTTGTCCATGGCTTAAGATTTTTTAATGTTTATTTATTTTTGAGAGAGAGAGAGTGTGCGTGTGCGCACGGGTGGGGGAGGGGCAGAGAGAGAGGGAGGGAGGGAGACACAGAATCCGAAGTAGGCTCCAGGCTCTGAGTGACAGCAGAGAGCCCGACATGGGGCTCGAACTCCCCAACCGTGAGATCATGACCTGAGCTGAAGTCAGGACGCTTAACCAACTGAGCCACTGAGGTGCCCCACCATGGGTTAAGTTTTTAATAGCTGTTTCATTTCTGTGGTAAGAGTCCATCCTTCCTCTGGCTGTTGCCACAAAGTTGAATTATCATATATTTCAAAATAGTGAAAGTGAGATTAATGGGTTTTTATTGTACTGAATATAGACTATATATAAAATTGGGCAGTATAAATTAAATGATGAATGAAAATAATGTGCTTCTTGATTTAGGGGGACAGTATATTTTGTGTTTGGTAATAATACAACCTCATATTGTTACATTGTATGTTGATTTAGATTTATTGATTCCCAGGGAAGAACTGTTATGGAAACGTGACATTTGCATGATTATAGATGATTTGTTTCTCATTCATATGCTTGGAGCGCCTGGGTGGCTCAGTAGGTTAAGCCTCCGACTTTTGATTTTGGCTCAGGTCATGATCTCACAGTCTGTGAGATCAAGCCCTGTGTTGGGCTTTGTGCAGACAGAACGGAGTCTGCTTGGGATTCTGTCTCTCCCCCTCTGCCCCACCTCCACTCGTACTCTGTTTCTCTCTCAAAATAAATAAATAAACATTTAAAAAATATAAATCATAAGCTTTTATTATACTAAGGAAAGGATTTAATTTTGGGTTTTCTTCAGTGAACCTTGGCATATATATAAAGACCATTTTTATTTTCCTTAAGTTAATGAAAAAAATTGCTCTAGGTCATTAGAACTTACTGTGTGGCATGTATCTTAAATTATTTGGGTTACTTTAGAAAATATAATGAAGGTGCGGTGTTGGTGATTTAAAATAACCAGTCTAAGAAGGAGTTGTGACCAATTTTGAAAGAAAATTCTTACACTGTGTGTACAGTTGAAAGGTGAAAATATTTATCTTCATACCATTTTATGTGATGTGGAAATGTGTAAAGAATTGTTTTATGATGCTACTAAACTTGGATAGTTTTTATTATAAGTTTAGGCAGAATTCTAGAAAATTGAATAAGCATTTGGATTATTTCTTTCTAGATTGAATATCTTTATACAAATGTGAAAAGACATTTACATATGTATTTTTAGGTAGCAGAAATGGTCATTGATACTAACTATATTTGGGTTCTCTTTGAAGTGTGGTTAGTGGGATATAGTAATTACATAGTGTTTATGTTGCTTTTAACCAGTCTGTTTGTTATTTTTGTATACACCTGTTTCCTCAAGTCTGTGTCTATGTAAACAAACATGGAAACTCTGGTCCTCACCTGGATCAGAAGAAAATCCAGCAACTGCCTGACCACTTTGGTCCAGGCCCAGTGAATGTGGTGCTCCGGAGGACTGTGCAGGCCTGTGTGGATTGTGCCTTTCAAAGCAAGACTGTTTTTGGATTTCTTAAGCCAGATCATCGTGGAGGAGAAGTGATAACTGGTATGCTTATCTAATCCTTTATTCAGCTTTTCTTCCAGATTTGATTTTAGGTTTTGAGAAGGCAAAGATTTTATAATATACAGATTATTTTATAATACTTATAGTCTATGAGCTATTTATAATATTGGCATGCTTATATTGATATAATAGAATATTTATATATTTATATAATTATATGTCTATAGACTTTTAACTCTGGTTTGAAAAGTTTAACTTTATGTTCAAAATAGACAAGTAATGTCAGAGTCATACTGTAAATTGAGGTAAAAGTTTTTTTTATATGCTATATTAAGTTCACTATAGACAAAATAACTTGGTTGATAATATATTTTAATGTTTTTAGAAAACAGATTGATCTATAAGAGGCTCTAAATGAAAATGTGATTCAAGAAAGCTTAGGAGATAAGATACAGCTGGCTTTCATGATTGTCTGATCAGATACTATATTTATACCCACAGAATGCTTGGAATAGCAGGAAGTGTTATTATACATCATTGGGTTGCTGCTGCTGATGCTGTTGTTGTTTGCCTTATGAATATTTTTAAATGAGAATGCTTTTACCAATACAGGCCCTTATGTTTTAATGAGAGGAACTTTATAATTTAAGATTATTCTTTTGTAAATTACAAAAACCACAAATTACATTTATAATACATTCCCTAAATTGATGACTTTTTTTCGTTGTTGTAGTTTTCATCTTTCTATGATGTAACTGACATCTCTTTTCCCCCCGATAGCCTCCTTTGATGGGGAGACTCATTCTGTCCAGCTCCCTCCAGTGAATAGTGCATCATTTGCCCTTCGCTTTCTTGAGACCTTGTGCCACAGCCTGCAGTGTGATAACCTTTTGAGTAGCCAGCCCTTTAGCTCTTACAGAGGTAATACTCAGAGTCCTACAGAGCTTGATAAAAGTGTACCAGGTGAGAGAAAATGTAAAATTTTATACTGTGCTTCTATATTTCTATTACATTTTATAATTAACTTGAGAATCTTGTGTCATTCAGGTTTTCCTTGTGTCCTCCTCATAGTAGCCACAATGAACTAGACATATATAATATATAGTTGTTTTTGTTCATTCGAAACAAGAAAATAAATTCTTATATTCATAATGAACTTGAGAATCAAAACCTGAAAAGTATCCCATGGTTTGATTTGCGTTTCCCTAATGGCTGAGGTTGTTTGCATCTTTTCATGTGCTTACTGGCGAATTGTGATCTTTGGAGAAATGTCTATTTAAATCCTTTGTCTATTTTTAATTGGGTTCCTTGTTTTTTTATTGCACAGAAATAAAATATATTTGTTCCTGGTATATATCATATTGTAGTTGTTATATATAAAGAGTCTTTATATATTCTGGATATAAGTTCCTATCAGAAATACGCTTTGCACATATTTTCTTCCATTCTGTAGATTGTCCTTTGACTTTCTTGATGGTGTCCTTTGAAGCACAAAACTTTGTAATTTCAATGAAGTCCATTTTATCTATTTTTTCTTTTGTTTCTTGTACTTTTGGTGTCATACCTAAGAAAATACTCCTTAGTAAAAGTTCACAAAGATTTACCTCTGTATTTTCTCCTAAGAATTTTATAGATTTAGCTGTGTATTTAGATTATTGATCTATTTTGAATTAATTTTTCTATATATAGTGAGGTGGGGGGTCCAATTTCATGCTTTCACATTTGGATATCTAGTTGTCCCAGCACCATTTGTTAAAAGACTACTCTTTCCCTATTGACTTGTCTTTGCACCCTTGTCAAAATGTATGGATTTATTTCTGGACTTTGTATTTTATTGATCTGTATGTCAGTCCTCATGGCAGTACCACACTATCTTGGTTACCATAGCTTTTTGTAGTAAGTTTTGAGATTGGGAAGTATGAGTTTTCCAACTTTGTTCTCCTTTTTCAAAATCGTTTGGGCAAGTCTGGGTTTCCTTATGAATTTTAAGATCAGCTTGTCAATTTCTGCAAAGAAGCCAGCTGGAATTTTAATAGAGAGTGTGTTGAATCTGTAGATCATTTTAGGGATTATTGCCCTGTAATAATATTGAGTCTCCTAGTTCATGAACATGGGATGTCTATTTATTTAGGTCTCACTTAATTTATTTCAACAGTATTTTGTAGTTTTCAGAAAGGACATCTGGCACTTCTTTTGATAAATTCATCCTGAAACATTTTATTCTTCTTAACATTATTGTAAGTGGAATTATTTCCTTAATTTTGGGATTGTTCATTGCAAGTGTATAGAGATACAATTGATTTTTTTATTATTAATCTTGTATTCTGTGGTCTTGCTGAATTTATTTGTTCTCATTGGAGTTTTTGTATGTGTGAATTTCTTAGGATTTTCTTAAAGTGTATTTTGTCTGATATTAGTATAGCCACTCCAGTTTTAAGTACTGTTTGTATGGTATATTTTTTCTCAGTCTTTTTCTATGAACTTATTTGTGTATTTGAATTTAAAGTCTGTCTTTTGTATTTAAGTATGTAATTGGAACATTTCTTTTAATCCATTCTGCTAATCTGGTTTTTTTTTTTACTGGAGTATTTTCTTATGCACAGTTAATATAATTACTAGTAAGGTAGGATTTATTTATTTTTTATTCATTCATTCATAAGGTAGGATTTACATCTACAATTTTGTTACTTGTTTTGTGTATATCTTAGGTTTCTTTTGGTCTTTTCTTCCATTACTTTCTTTTTATTGTTTGTTTGAAATAGATGGTTTCTTGTATACCATCTTAATTCCCTTGTTCCTTTTACTAAATTTATTGAGTTTTTTTTTTTTTTTTTTTTTTTCTTTTCTGTCCAGGAGTTATCTTCTTAGTAGTTGCCTTGGGGATCACAATTAACATCTTAATTTAAAACAGTCTAGTTTGGATTAATACCAACTTAATTTTAATATTACGCAAAAACTTTGCTCCACTACAGCTCTATTTCCTGCCCCCTTCTTTGTTCTTTTATTGCCAAATTATATTTTATACATTATAAGCCCCCAAATACAATTTTTTAATTGTTTTTTCATTTTTTTTATTACCATGTTTTTTATTTTTTAAAGTAAGCTCTCTGCCCAATGTGGGGCTTGAAGTCATGACCCTGCTATCAAGAGTTGCATGCTCTACTTTCTGAGCTAGCCAGGTGCCCCTAGTTGTTTTTTTAAAGGAAGAAGGAGAAGAAAAGAGTTACAAACACAAATAAATTTACTGGTACTCTTTGTTTTTTTATGTGGATTTGAGTTGCTGTCGAATGTCATTTCATAAGCTGTTTAAGTGAGGAATCTTCTCACTTGTGAGCTGTTTAAAAACGTGAGGAATTTCTTATTTCTCCTTCATTTTTTAAAGGTTAGTTTTGCTGGATGTCAAATTCTTAGTTGACTGTCTTTTTGTCAGTTTGAATGTCATCCCACTTCCTGGTAGCCTCTGTAGTTCCTGATGAAAAGGTAGTTGTTAATCTTATCAAGGATCTCTTTTACATGAAGACTTGCATTTCTCTTGCTGATTTCAAGATTCTCTTTGTTTTTTGCTTTTGATTAGTTTGTCTGTTTTTTTTTTACGTGTGGATATCTTTGAATTTTTCCTGGTTGGAGGTTGTTGAGGTTTTTGGATATTCGGGTCAATGTTTTTCATCAAATTTGGGAAACAGCCATTATTTTTTCAAATGTTCTTTCTGTCCTCTTCTCTCTGTCACCTCTCCTTATGAAACTCTCTCATTATGTGTGTTTTGGTGTCCTTGATGGTATCCCATAGGTCTCTGGGGTCTGTTCATTTTTCCTCATTCTTTTTTCTTTCTGTTCCTTAGACTGTATAATTTCATTTGACATTTCTTTAAATCTGCTGGTTCTTTCTTGTGTTAGTTCAAAGCTGCTGTTGAGCCCATCTAGTGAATTTTTCATTTCATCTATACTACTTTTCAAGTCCTAAATTTCAATATCCTTTTTTGTAATTTTTATATTGATTGTCCCTATTTGGTGAGATATTGTTCTCATATTGTCCTTTAGTTCTTTAGATATTATTATTATTATTATTATTATTATTAGTTCTTTGAACATAAATAGAATCGCTGATTTAAAGTCCTTGTCTAATAAGTCCAGTATCTGGGCTTCCTCAGAGACAGTTTCTACTGACATATTTTCCCCTCTTTGTATGGGCCATACTTTTCTGTTTCTCTGCATGTCTCCTAATTTTTTAGTTGAAAACTGGGCATTTAAAAATAGGGTAAAGCAATAACTCTGAAAATCAGCTTTTCTCCCCTTCCCTAGGGTTTGTTGTTGCTGGTGCTGTTTGTATAGTGACTTTCCTGGACTAACTTAATGACTTCCTGCGCTCATTTGTTATATGTGGTCACTGAAGTCTGCTCATTTAGCTTAGTTTTCAGCAAATGATTGGACAGGGATTTCCATAAATGCCTGCAACTGGTCTTTTCCCCGTCCTTTGCCACGTAGTTCTGTGTATGTGCTAGAATTTACCTTGAACACTCCAGGAAGCAGTTTATAAGTCTGCTTTGTGCAGAGCCTCAAGGTTAGCAAGAAATGAGAGATTAAGACCTTCTTAGGTCTTTCCTGGACATGGATACAGCCTTGCACATGCATATGGCCTTCTAGATTCCCAGGAATATCTCCATGTTTTTCAAAGTCTCCTAATGGACATTTTATTCTCCAGGGTTTTTTGTTTGGTTTGGTTTGGTTTGGTTTGGTTTGGTTTTTTAAGCTTTTTGGTCAACTTCTTGTGAGCCCCAGCTGGTAATGCTGGCTCGGGCAGCTGCATTGTTAAATAATTGCTACTTTGGGGTGCTTTGTTTTGTTTTGTTTTTTTGAGCGATGTCTTGGAGATAGGGCTGTTCACACACAGTAGGCTCTGATTTAGGTCAAATAAATGAAGCTTTTCATTGAGCTTCAAGATTGGTCAAATAGTGACAGTTCTCTGGGGATAGGGCCTTGTGGGAGCTCCAAACCCATTGTGCTGCCTCCAGTGACTACTAGGCTGCTGGTTTTCATAGCTCCGGTAGTTGTGAACCTGTTGGTTTACAAAGCTGCTGCAAAACTGAGTGAAGGGGATGATGTTAGGGAAGCTAAAATGGCACAGAATTTACTGTTCTGACATTTAGCCATTTTTTTCTTGAACAGATGCTTTTACGATTGTTGTAAGCTTTTACTTAATGTCCAGAGTTTTTGGAAAAGGTAATTTTGCCAATGTCTTCATTATTTTTATGAAGAAATGGATTTTTGGAGATCCTTAATCAGTCATCCCGGAAGTGCCTCGAGATGATGCCTTTTAAATTACTTCGTGAATTACCTGCTTTTTTCTGGTTATCTCTGCAGGAACAATTTCATGCCTGAGGTTATTTCTACGATATCCAGAAGCAGAAATTAAGACTCATTTTTATATTTTATCAGCCTCAGATAGTAATCCATATACCAACTTCATAAATTTTTCATAAAGCATTAGAATATTACAAGTAAAAGATGAGTAAAGTTTTTCTGATCTTGCTAAGAATCTGAGGTAAACAAACATCTATAAAAAACTAAATGTTAGTATTTGACTTTTCTGTGTCCATTTAATAATGGATATGAAAAGAGTCAAAAGAGAGTCAATTAAATTCTTTATAAGAATTTAAATGTCCTATTTGTAGAAATATTCATCATTCACTGAAATATGTTTTGTGTAATTTTGTAGTTCATGATTAAAAATAAAATCAAGTGGTAAGAGCTCTCTTAGACTCTTCAGTAATCAGTCAGTAACCAGATGGCTAAATGTTGCTTATCAGGTGATCTTAAGAAGCATGCCCTGGCCCCCAGCCCTCTTGAACCAGATAAAGTTTGACTTTGGTACTTTCTTATTGTAATATTTCTTCTCACTCAAGTTCTATTATCAGACTTTTTAGATTTCTATTATACTTAATTTTTCCTTTTAGTTGAGGGTTAAATCAAGATATTGATTGATTTTTAGAGTGTAATTGATAATTTGATATGTCATTACTTTCAGGATTATGCCTTAAAGAGTAGTCCTTTAGGTAGAAATGCATTTGGCTTAATAATCTGTAGAGTATATAGTAAGGGTAGCTCTAGGCCACGATTGTTGCGTGTAAAATGGGATGTCCATTGTACCCTGTCTTCTCCTTTTCTGAATTCTTAACTTTTCTTGTTGATGAGAATAATTTTCCCAGGCCTTTTGACACGGTATAATTGATTTTCTTACTGCTTCCTGAGGTATTTAGAGAGATGTGATGACCCTAGAATAAATGATGCCTAGACATAATGCTTTTAGCTCTTGAATATGATGTCAATGAAATATATAACAGGATGAAATGAACACACATTATTCATAAACAATCAAGTAATTGATAAATTATTGATGAAGTTATAGTAGGCAGATGATTTGGAAACAAAAGTGTTATATGCTGATGATCTGACAATGCTTGAGGAATGTTAATTAGTTATAACAGACACCTTTTTTTTAAAAACAGTAAAAGAAGACATAACAGAAAAGAAAAGCCCCAAACGGCCTTCTCAGGAACCTTTACCTTATGTTGTTCCTGTGTCACCTAAGTTCCCCAAAACAAAGGTGCATGCTTCTACAGGTAAATAGTATTTATACATCCCAGGAGTGGGAAGAAAAGTCACTCTACTACCACTTACTGTATGCTCTTGGGTGGGGGTATATATTTGCTCAAATCAGTTTAGCAATCAGGCTACTGCTTTGGCAGCTTTGTGGAGTGTTTCATTCCCTTCAGAAGCGCACGGTTGTCGTTTCTCCTTAGATTAAAAAAAAAAATTATAGTAACATTTTCCATTCAGCTTTGTTGCTGAAAGCTCATAAAAGAAGATTAGAAAAACCTAGTACCTTTCTCCAGTGAAATTTGCTTTTTAATATTAATTTTTTTTATTTTTGAGAGACAGTAGGTGTGAGCCAGGGAGGGGCAGGGAGAGATAATCCCAAGCAGGCTTCACGCTGTCAGCGCAGAACCTGATGTGGGGCTCAAATTCTCGAACCGTGAGATCATGACCTGAGCTGAAATCAGGAGTCGGATGCTTAACGGAGCCACCCAGGTGCCCTCCAGTGAAAGTTTTAAGTGCCCAAGTAGTAAGCAAATGTTAGAAGCCAACTGTGTGGTCATATTATAACAAATAGTTGTGGAGAACTGCATTCTTAAAAATGAATGCTTTAGTGAGGTGTTGACAGCCTTGGTGGCAAGACTGGCAAGGGACAATTACCATGAGAAACAGGTGATGTCGTGGAATCAATTTGGATGTTAAGACGGTGTCCATTACTGAGAATGCCAAGAAGGGGATGGCCATGTACTTTGTGTTTAGAGGTTTGTGGTTCAGTATAGCATGGCTTAAGTGGCCTGTTGAAGGTGACAAGATCTTTTGACCTTTGAAAGTATTTAAGCTGTAAGTCTACTGAAGATAATTGCCTTTGTCTTTTTTTCTTTTAGAAGAATCATTGTCTTCTGAAGGAAATGGCATGCCCAAGGAGGAGAAGCTTCCTGAAGATTCCAAAAGCCCACCACTAAGTCCAGCAAGTTCTGTAACTCCTGACAGCAGAAATCCTGTAAGCGCTCATACTGCAGTCTCCAGGGATTTTTCTCCAAGTGTGCCAGGCCCCTCAAGTTCAGCACTGGTGGGAACTAAATCTACCAAGAGCAGTCAACATGAAGTTAAATTCCAAACGCAGAAGAAAAGTGAAGGTATATTTAAAAACAGTGATTCTCAACCAGTGTGTTCCTTTACTCCTCAAGTTTTCCATGCCCAAAAATATCCCCTGAGAGTGTATGACATTGGAGAAAGTGCCAAAATTAAGGAGTTTGAGTCCTCCCTATTTATGTCACTGTCAGGATCAGGCCAGTACAGATGGCTCTGATCCTCATGGTAGCATAGAACTGTCTTTGGGGATCTGGATCACCAACCATGTCTCTCATAGAGACTTCTTAATTCATGGTTCTTATTAATGGTTCCCTTGTAATTTATAATTTCATTGGCTACTGTCTGGACTCACAAACAAACCTCCTGTGACACTGAGGCTTGGAACGATGTACTCCCTCTCCTTTTTGATGTACTCTCTTTCTTGTCAGAAGAGACCTTTCCTGGCCCTAGCCTGTGTGTGACTCCCAGATCTGGGTTCTGGTATTCTGTTGCTGCAGCCATTTCTCCATTCTCCACACCCTCGGTTACTCCCTCAGACCCACCAGGAGTATTTAATATGTGTAAACACGGCAGCAGCATCTTGCCATTTGGAAAGAGCCAGCATAGTTTTCCATGTGCAAAGATAGCTGCCCTTTACCATTTTAAGCACTAAGAGGGTGGGGGTAGGGGTAGAGGTGGGGTGAGGTGGGTTAAGGGTGAGAATAAGTGTTCTATCCTTTTTGCCCTGGTGTAGGCATCTAGGTAAGGTGAGCAGTGAAGGCAGTAGGAACTGTCTGACTCAGTTGCTTTTTATCATGGATATTATCTACGGGCAACTGCACTGCATACATGCTATGACATATTTCATGTCGTCCCCTTCCATCTCCCACCCCATGTAGATCGCCTCTGCTTTCAGAGTGATGTTTGCAAGGAGTCTGACAATAGATGTTTATTCCATAAAGGGATAACATAGCTGGAATTTTAGATATTTTCACAAAACACGAGCTTTTGAAGACGGGCCGCCTCAGTAAAAGGCTATAAAAGGTTACCTCCGATGCTGAATATCTCACTTTCAAATGTATGCCTAAGCATACCAAAGTAGCCTGTATTTGGGCTGGAGAAGGCTAGTTTCTGGTCTTTCCAGGAGTGAAAAGACTAATAGTAATAACATTACTTACTAGTAATTTTCTATTATTAATAATAGAAATCAGCATCATCTTCATCACTGTCTGCCATGTGCCAGGTGCATAATATTTTACATAGCCTTATACAGTACATCTTTACAATAATTCCTTGAGATGTATGTGCCTGTAAACATTTTTCTGTGAGAAATCTGAGAAGTCACTTGTCTAAGGTCCCCAGCTAGAAAGTGGCTGGGTCAGTCCTTGAATCCAGGCGCTCTGGCCCCAGGCCGTACACTTAACTTCTGGGCTGCTTCCATCTCCAGAGAATAGGTAAGCATTTCACTTGAAAAGTGTCTAGACATGTCATTACTATTACTTTCTTTAAGGTTTTGGAACTGTTACTTAAGGCTGAGTCCCCCCCGGTTGCCGGTGATGCTTTCACAGCCCTCTGCCCTGCCCCATTATTTGAATGAAATAAATTATTTATTTTTATTTTAGGAAAGAAATCCAGTAACATTGTCGTGGAGAAAATCAAATCACTTTCATTTTATTTGTTTCAGAAACATTTAGTGTATGTAAGACAAAGCCATTCATGAAAAAAAGCATGACTGAACTTTATTTTTCACATAGTTTATTTCATGTAATTATTGAGAGTAACACTAATGTTTGCAATTATGATTGTTTTGAAGATGCAGGCCCACTTAAATTATTTTTCCATAATGGATTAAAAATAGATGATCTTACAGTTGTTTTAACATAAAATTATAGCTTTATACCATAAATTATATCTTTGCCTATAGGTTTTCTGTTGTAATCTTTGAAACTAGTTACATGTTATTTGAGACCTAACTATACCAGATTCTGATGATGTAAACCAGAAATCCCACAAAAAAGTTAATTTAGAGGTATTGATTAGCTTTGCCAGTAACTTCTTAATCTCAAATTGAGTCTTTCTTGAGCTAAAGGAGAAGACTTTTCTGTCTAAATTGTTAAAATGCTTGGGGCGCCTGGGTGGCGCTGTCGGTTAAGCGTCCGACTTCAGCCAGGTCACCATCTCGCGGTCCGTGAGTTCGAGCCCCGCGTCGGGCTCTGGGCTGATGGCTCAGAGCCTGGAGCCTGTTTCCAATTCTGTGTCTCCCTCTCTCTCTGCCCCTCCCCCGTTCATGCTCTGTCTCTCTCTGTCCCAAAAATAAATAAACGTTGAAAAAAAAAATGAATAAAATGCCTTAGGCATGGCATGGTCTATACACCGTCGTCATTTTCATTTGGGTTGACACAGCCCAGCAGCATTTCTTGGTAGATATGACCAACAATTTTATCTCTGACAAGTGGAAGGGAGGATGTATTTTAGTAAAGAGTTGTTGTTTCACATTGAAGTTGCAATAGTGAAAGAGAAAACAAATATACTTTTGAGCTACACATAAAAAAAAAACTTACCATTGTGAGTTCTTTTATCTTCTGTTTTTCTTTGCCCTTTACCTGGGTAAATATCAAAATGCCCCTAAAATGGCTGGAGCCCAGATAGGAGAGAAAAAGTATATCTTTGGTTAATTCATACCAAAAACAAAAAAAACCAAATCTGTGTTGACGGTCCTTGTTTAAAGAAACAGATCTTCCTAGCAAATTACAAAACTCTCTTCTGTCACACATTAAACTTTAGAGAGTCAAGCCACTCTGGTTGAGTAAATGAATACTTGTCTGGACACAAAGAAATTATAGCACAACTTGGTGAACAGCACACCTAAAACTTTTTGAAGTATGAGTGCTTAATTTATTCTCTGTAATTATTATTCTTAATTTATTCTCTGTAATTATTCTCAATTATTTCTTTTTTTTGACCTGAAACATTCAACCAGAATATCTATTACTATGCAATTAAACTTGAGAGAGGTATTCAATATAATGTTAAAGTTACTTCTGACCTAGCCAAGCAGAAAATAATCCTCCTTTCTTCAAAATTCAGAGAAGCATTTAAGCCATAAGAGACAGGAATTTAAAAAGCAAAGTGATGCTAAAAATGTCCATATTGAATACATGGGAGAGATTCAGTAAAAACTAATTTGGTTCTCAAAGATAATGGGGTTATTGAAATTCATTGATTAAAGTGAATAAATGTAAGCAATTAGAAAACCAAATCTGGAGACTTGCCATTGTATTTAGCTGGTAAGAGAAACCTAGTCTAGACATACTAAGAGGAGGGAGATTGAGAGAAATTCATCGAAATACTTAAAGAGAGTAATAGGTTAACTTAGATTAACCTGATTTAACCCAAGCAACAGATCTTTTGCTGTCTTTGCCTGTGGCCAACAAAGCCTCAGATTGCTCAGTCTGTTTTATGATTTTTGAAACTTTAGGGTAAATTCTGAAGCTGCTTTTGTTTTTGGGGGAGGTCAGATGGGGTACTCTTGGGTAGCCATCCTCAGGTCACCTCTAGCTAGACTTGCGCTGGATTCTACACTTAGAGTCCCGGGTCCTTGCTGGGGTGCTTACTAGAAGGTTCCAGGAATGAGAGACCATCTCTCTCTACCTAACATCTCTTCTTTCAGGATAATGATCAGGTCAAGTATGATTTGTCTTTTTTCCCCCCCCATTGAAGCTCCAAGTTATATAGCTGTACCTGATCCCAGTGTCCTGAAACAAGGCTTCTCTAAGGACCCTTCAACCTGGTCTGTGGATGAAGTGATACAGTTTATGAAACATAAAGATCCTCAAATATCAGGCCCCCTCGCCGACCTCTTCAGGCAACATGTAATGTATCTTTTGATCCGGTTTTCCTGCCGTAATGCCTTTCAATGACCTCTGTGCAGGCCCTTCAGTTGGATGGATGCTGATTAGTGTGGATGGTGGGGGAACCCTATCAACTGATTTTTTTCCATATGTGAGAAAGCTTACTTGGCCCAAAGTTAGCTTCTTAAAAGGTAGAGGCTGGATCTGTGCTTTAAACGGGTACTCGAGTACCTAAAGTACTACAAGTCTTCAAGTTCTCCAGGGAAGATGATTCAACATGGCCACTCTCAGATGTCTTCTCCTACAAGGATCCTCCTCCCCTCTCCTCCCTGCTTTGCCCCAGGACCGTGAGTAGGAGGGGGTAACCACAAGCTGTGACAGGGTGTCTTCCTTGTTAATGATGCCCAATGAGTCCAGCAACTGTAAGATTAAATGCAGTTTTATTTTAAATAGGAGCTTGTTAATCCCAAATAATATGCTTCTGTGACATAAACTGGTTAACTAAGGAAATAAAGAAATTTTAGGAGGATGCCTTGTGTCTTTTAAGTAATGTTTATAGTCTTTTCTGAGAAATCAGTGACCAAATATCTTACGTCCTTTTCGGTATTCTAAGAAAATCAGTAGTTTTAGCATTTAATTAGCTTCAGACAACTAACTAATTTGCTTTCAACATAAAGACAACACTGTGTATATAACACATTTATAATTTGCATTGATGCTGACATACTCATATTCCCAGCCTTTTTAAGAAAGTTAATGACCGTCTGAAATTTGTTTCTACAATTCATAGTTTTCTACTCTTTGTCATAGGTAGGTAGTATTGTATTCAACACACAGTACTTAAAATCAGACAGCTTGATGCTTAGGCCATTTTTGAAAGATACTGGATTAAATTTCCTTTTTCTTAAAATTTGAAGTAAAGTTAAAAATTGTCAAATGATGTCTTGCTGTAGAAATTATATTTTTAATAGTTCTCAGGAAATAATATTCAGAGAATATATATCGAGAATGTACAACTGCCCTCTATTTTACATGTTCTTATATAGAAATAACTTGACAAGGTAGGAATGCATCATTAATCGTAGTTTCCTTTCTCTATAGGAAATTGATGGGAAGGCTCTGCTACTCCTCAAGAGTGAGGTGATGATGAAGTACATGGGGCTGAAGCTGGGCCCGGCATTAAAGTTGTGTTACTACATTGAAAAACTTAAAGAAGGAAAATACAACTAAAACAAAATTGTATGTTGAGATTGGACACAATTCTCAGTTGTCCTCATAACTTTTAATTTAAAAATGTTTTTATTCTCCTAGCAGCTTTTGTTTGGTAGACAGTTCCTCTAAAAGTATGTATATCCAGAATCGCAAAACAACGTTATAGTTCACTCTACTTTAAAAACCATTTAACGTTAGTAGTAGTATATTCAAATTGGGAGTTCTTTATGTCTTTTTCTTATTTTACAGTTGAAAATTTATCATTTTATTGCACAGTTTACAAATTTATTTCATGCTGGAAACAGAGAAACACCTTTGATTTCAGTTAATGTTTATATATAGAACCAAAACAGCTGAATCCCAAAGGGGAAAGTATCAGGGACTGACAAGTTCTCTCATAAAATCCATGAGAAGTTTTCCTTAGAAGAGAATTTAAAGATGCAACTGCAGACATTATCTTTCTCCCAATATTTTATGTCTGTTACTGCCATTTTGTTTGTGTTCTGCCAGTTTCCAGAAAGGGAAAGCCATATAAATTATTTTCCTTTTGTTATTATTTCTCTGTATGTTGTATTTGTTCATATTTAAAGAAAAAAAGCAACCTTATAAGCTTTCATAAAGTGTTCTTAATCAGTTTTTGATAAATTTTGAACAATTATAGGATACATAGAATGGTTGTTTTATGCAGGAGATATTATACTACAGGGGTGGTTTGGATGGAGTCAGGTTAATTTTTTTTTCAATAATATACCTATTATTTTAAAACGTTACATATATTCGCTAAGCGTAGACATTTAACTGGGCATTCATTCCTCACATCTCTATATGAAGACACCTGTGCCCAAATTTTTATAAGATATATATTTTATTGTCTGTGTTTATTCCTCATATGGATACTATACCATATTTATATATTATTCTATACCTGTAGGTATACGAACAAGTAAATCTCTTCTTTTTGAATTTAATATGGCACTTTGTACTGCCACAGAGGTGATGGTGAACTATTTATATAGTTAGAGGTTTTTATTCTATAAAAAATATGTGCATCATTTGCTATCACTATTACCTCTCAGCTTTGTCTTCAGGGGATAAGAAACAATCCGTAGGTTGGTTTTCACACAGGGAAGTTCTCTGTCCTATGCAATGTTTCTAGTGAATTTGCTTAGCTCTGAGCCATTTATTCTGCTACATTTTGGAAGATATTTGATTCTGACTTCTCATTTTGGGCTTTATTTTTAAAGTTAGAACTTTAAAGGGGAAATGGTGCTATATGTTTATTGTAATTACTTTGTACAACTTTGGTGTAATGTTTATAAGCTATGAGAATCTGTGCTAAAAGTCTTAGCCATTTGTTGTAAATGCCAATAAAATATACACCAGGGGCATGAATGTACATTTTCTTTCTCAGAAAACCAAATGTACTTTATATAAGAATGCAACTATTTAAAGGGTGATTTTATCTATGTTATTCCTTTTGTGTTATAAGACAGAATTCTAATTTAAACCTGGTTTTTCTTCAAATTGTTTGTGTGAAGATGCCGGTGCCCGGTTGAACAGTCCTCAGGTGTGTTTGTATGAATACTATGTTTTAC